ATGCGTATGATGGCTTTTCAATTTTTAATTTGCTCTTTGATTGTTATTTTCACTTATTGGTTTTGCACGTATTTCAATTTAGCCAATTGATTTTATAAAGTGGCTAAAGTCGCATTCGTTTTGATGAACTGCTAAGTTACCCTGATATAAGTCTCAATTTTGTGTGACACACTAACAAAATGTTAGTCTTAAATATGAATTTGATTCAGGACGTACTTGGTTCATCAATTTTTATTTCAACTAAATGTTGTAATGTATGAAACTACCAATCGAGTTTGAAATTAGCATATTTCAATATCGTTAAGTAATTAATTATTCACTAACTTCGATGCAATTAAGATAATATGTAGAATTATCAGCAAACAATAGTTTGGTGATTGATTAAATCAATGAAATTTGTTGGTAAATTGATTACATACAATAAAATAAAATAAAATAAAAAAGATCGGGCTTCATATTATAAGATGAATGCCAATTGTAATTGTTTCAACGAATTCAATCATGCTCATTGTTGCGGGGTGGGGAGGGGACCCCAAACCAGTTCCGGTCGTTCACTCCTAATAGCAGCAATGTTATTTTCATCTATTTATTTTTATTTGGTTGATGTCCTTTTTTTATTATAAATATATAGTTGTTTATTTGATTAGAAGTCTTTTGTTCATTTGAGTTTTGTGAGGGCTAGTGTTCCCTTTTTAGTTTCTGAATGAGGATGAGTTTGTGTTAGATCTTGAGATTAATACAAAATTCATATAAAACAAAATTATGAACTTTGGATGCCGGCTATCAACAATGGTCGCATTTGAAAATTTGCATTACTTGAGTGTTTTTTACGAGTCAGATCTTGAGATTATCCTATGAATCACCTAAAACTTTAAACTAGCCTACAAAGTTAATCGAACACCAATTAAACTCTTTAAAAAGTCTGCCTAACCCATATAAATCTACCTTGGCTCAATTCTTAGATCATTAGAGAACACATCATGTTCTCATAGGCATTTGTTATGGGCATGCTTGCAAATAATATGAATTAAATTTATCAAACATTATTTACAAAATAAGACAATTCATAAAATTCTCAAAACTATCAAATTTCTAATTTGCTCATCTTCTTGGCACACTGAATTTGTACTTTTGACCAGCATAAACCCTCAATTTTCAAAACCAAGAATTTACAACAGCCGCTGATGGAATATAAATTTGGAAGTGGCGGCTGGCGTGACCCCAAAATAGCAGCATCTGAAAATTAACAGTACTTCAGTTTTTTTTTTTTTTTTTTTTTTTTTTTTGGTTACGAGATCAAGTATCAGATACTGATCATAGAATATATCTAATCTTTTTTTTTTTTTTAAAGTTGAACGATCATACAACTTGATACTCAAATCATTAGAGATTAAACCCCGTTCTCATAGGCCTTTGTTACAAACATACTTAAAAATAATACGAATTAAATTTATCCCTAATAATTTACGATACAATACAAAGAACGTAACAATACTCAAACTATGAAATTGCTGATTTGCTCAGGCTAGTGTTCCCTTTTTAGTTTCTGAATGAGGATAAGTTTGTGTTAGATCTTGAGATTAATACAAAATTCTTATAAAACAAAATTATGAACTTTGGATGCCGGCTATCAACAATGGTCGCATTTGAAAATTTGCATTACTTGAGTGTTTTTTACGAGTCAGATCTTGAGATTATCCTATGAATCACCTAAAACTTTAAACTAGCCTACAAAGTTAATCGAACACCAATTAAACTCTTTAAAAAGTCTGCCTAACCCATATAAATCTACCTTGGCTCAATTCTTAGATCATTAGAGAACACATCATGTTCTCATAGGCATTTGTTATGGGCATGCTTGCAAATAATATGAATTAAATTTATCAAACATTATTTACAAAATAAGACAATTCATAAAATTCTCAAAACTATCAAATTTCTAATTTGCTCATCTTCTTGGCACACTGAATTTGTACTTTTGACCAGCATAAACCCTCAATTTTCAAAACCAAGAATTTACAACAGCCGCTGATGGAATATAAATTTGGAAGTGGCGGCTGGCGTGACCCCAAAATAGCAGCATCTGAAAATTAACAGTACTTCAGTTTTTTTTTTTTTTTTCTTTTTTTTGGTTAGCTGAATCATCCAAAAATGTGAACAGTATGCAAAGTTAATCGTTTGCCAATTAAATCCTCTATATATTCCATGAAGACAACATAAATCAACTTGATACTCAAATCATTAGAGATTAAACCCCGTTCTCATAGGCCTTTGTTATAAACATACTTAAAAATAATACGAATTAAATTTATCAATAATAATTTACGATACAATACAAAGAACGTAACAATACTCAAACTATGAAATTGCTGATTTGCTCAGCTCAGCACATTAAATTTGTATTTTTGATGTTTATAAACTCTCAACTCATATTGCTAGTTGCCCTCTCTATATTTAAAAAATATCTGAACTTGATGTTGACTAGTTCAAATAATAAATTTAACTTCATGATTTTCTGAATTTCCAACTGATAAAATAACATGCTTGCATGGCACCTCCTTATTGCTTCACACAAAAACATCACCGCTGTCTTTCTATATACAAGGATGACCTTTGTTGTTTGGCATGGCCAAAATAAATTTACAAGTAACTTCAGACGAGCCTAAATTTATTTTATTTGATTAATGTTTCGATCTCAATTTCTATTAGAATGTCAAAATGAAAGCATGATTGAGTGAGAGGGTTGAATACTAGAAGGAGATACACACACAGATTTGAGCAAACGTGCATTTGAGTTGGGGGCTTGGTATTGATGTTTAGCGGTTTATGGCCAAAAATACGGTTACACCAGGCTTATGAGACATCATGACA